AGACTCCGTGTCCTTTTCCCGTTTGCCCCGCGGGCTTCAAGTGGGGTTGACAAGCGGACAATCGGACAATGGGACAACCAGACAACAGGACAACCGGACAACCGGACAACAGGACAATCGAACAACCGGACAACCGGACAACTGGACAACTAGACAAGCGGAAAGTGGACAACCGGACAACCGGACAACCGAACAACCGGACAATCGGGCAACTGGACAAGCGGACAAGCGCATGTGCTGTTGTGTTGGGCTCCTCCTCCCCTCGCCAGAGCGGTTTCAGGCGGTTCCGTCCGACCCCCGAAATGGTTGATGCAGGCCCAGCCCGCAGACCACGGGTCTCCTGTCCGAATGGCCAGTTCATGCCGGTTCAGTTGCCCTGGCAGCCACGTGTCCTGTTCGACGCGAGCCGAGCAGCTGGCACAAGATTGCGCTACTCCGCGCCACTCGCTCAACCGGCCAGCCCGCCAGCCAGCAACTGCTGCTCTCTCCCAACGCTGTCTCGCAAATGACAAACCACCACCACCACCACCACCACCACTCATTCACCCCTTTCGACACACCCAAGCGCATGAAAACCGACGCACCCAACAACACACACATACAAATTCGGCTGCCTTCCCTTTACTCCTTGCTCCCTGCAAACGTTCAAAAGCAGAGACATGCACACCAACACATACGTACTCTTTCACATGCAAGCACACTCACAACAAACCGTTATCTCGTATCTGAATAACGGCACAAATGTAATAAACGCATAGAAATATAGATTGCGCGGTGACGCTATACTTTCAGTACTCCCTACTCCCCCTCCCCCTTTCTCCCTTTTTCTATGTCTCTCTCTCTCTCTCTTTCTTCCTCCAACGTCATGCATGACTGAGCCGCACTTGGAGCATTCTGACCGTCCGGAAGAGAAGTTGAGAGTCTGAGTCTCTACTTTGGCCGATCGAGCCCAAGCCCGAGCCCGCGCACGGGCCGGACGGCCCAGAGGTGGAGGGCGGGGTGGTGGGTGGGTGTAAGGTGGTTGCGCAACAGGCCTAAATGGAAGATGGGCAAAAGCAACTGGACCATGACGTGACGTGCATGGCAAAGACGCCGCTTTAGGAGTTAGACAACTGGCTGCATTTCTTGAAGTTGCCATGCCGTAAGTAGGGTCTAGTCGTGTCCCCATGTCTGTCTGTCTGTCTGTCTGTCCGCCTTCAGATTGTGCTTGTGCAGAGTCTTGTGGTCCCGTGGCAGCCGAGCACGTATTCACACATGCCGGGATCACACCTCCGCGTCAGCCTGCCTCATTTGCAAGTCGGCAGATGCGGCCACACGATGGCGAAATCGGCTTACGGTGACGAAGCAGTGCTACAGCCGGTCGTCATGTTGGACTGGGCAGCTCGTCGGGTCGAGCCGATTGCAGAGCTGACGGTGTTTTCGGCTGTCCTCAG